ACTAAAGCAGGAAATAAATAAATAACGTAAATATAAACGGAAAAGAAAATATAAAAAAGGAGTTACATGATAAGCACAATAAGCCTCTTCTAAATATGCTTAAAATGATTGACAGCCATGTTGATTTCGCATTGTTTACTATGATAAATGCAGGTATCCATTTTAAAATAGAATATTTTAACATTGCTTTTATTTTTTTAAAAAAGGAAAAAAAATAAACATTCTAGGTATGAAAACGCCCATTGCTTTAACGGACTTTTCCAGGAAATTTCATATGAAAATTATTAGGTAATTCGGACTTTTTTAATAAGAATTTCAATTAGAAATGTACTATAGAAAGAAATTCATCACCTTGATTCTCAGCATACTAATACTTATGATAAAATAATAAAAATAAACTACCAATTTATTATTTACGTGTTTGTGTAACTATATTAAAATATTTTTTATATCCAGAAACAACGTTTCTAAAGCCGATGTTTGAAAATAGACTAGTGTAAGTGAAGGCAATATTTTGCTAAAGCTTCATGTTTATTGGCGTATTATTAGTTTTCTTTACTAGGGCTGCAGACTTTTTCTTTTTTTAGCTACGTCACTCATTAAGTCGATGAAAGGTTGTAACTTATGACATAGCTCGATATTATATCAATTATTATAAAATTTTTATGTGAACATCTGCAGTGACGTTATTTACATAACTTTTTACGGCAGTTACGTCGTAATAAATATAAAGGTTAAAAAAATTAAATAAAATCCTTTTTAACGGTAAAATTTCTAAATATAATATTTTACTCTATTGAAAATTTATTGATTATATTTAAATACGAATATATTTACATTTGTATTTTTATTAATGAAATGACATACAACTTTTTATTACAGATATTGGGAAATATCGCCACTGCATATTTTTTTTCGAAAATTATAAAACACGCCATGGCGCTCGACGCCATAGTTATATGATTTATGTATTTTTTATTTGTTACAGTACTTTAACTTTTATCCTATATTATTAGTAGATTAGCTAAACTGATTCATATAATAATTATATTCTACTTTGCAGTATTTAATTCTGCAGCATATACTTTACATATATTCTTATAGGGTTTTCAATTTTTTTTTATTTTACAATATTTGCTAATTGAATCTTTTTTCTGACCATTTTCGAGGGTGCTGAGCAATTTTGATTAGTACAACTTGTTTAGTTTAGACCATAGTTTTTGAGAAAACGCACACTATGGCGTTGAGCGCCAGTGGTGTGATTTAGTGAAGTTGATTTTTTTCTTTTAATGATTATATTGTTTCAATAAAGGTAAATAAAGGAAAAAATGCTAAGAAATATATAGTTTCAGCAGTAGTGGTATGATTTACAAGTTTTCTAATAAAATAATTATAGAATATAAATCCTGTTTATTTCAAAATTAGTAACTTTGATAAAAAAATATAATAAAAACGGTTTGTAATAAAAACTTTTTAAGGCCTTTAAATATTGTTTCTTTTGCATAATTACAAAATAAATGTGGCTGATGGAGTTTTTACTTTTTGGAGACGTCCTCAACGTGACGAGAGATCTACGATTTATACTTATTTGAAATTTTCAGGATATATGCACCTATAAAATTGGAGTCGTAACAAAACCTACGTTTCATTCGTTTCCAAGGGTATTTTATTGTGTAACCCTACCGTTGTTCCTTGATCGATCAATGTGACTCATACACAACATACAGTGAAGTCTCGAATCAATGAATCAATTGAATCATCGTATATTATACTATTATATTGAGGTTTCAAGTATCTGCGCCAAACCCTACAAAAAATTAAATGATCATTTTTCGTTTTTATTTCCGAAGAAACTCAGGCACGTGATCATTTTTCTGAAAAATTTTTTATAGGGAAAACGATGGCCTTTTCATTCTGATAAAAAAAGGAAAAAAAAGCTAATCATGTGACTAAAACTTTTAAATTAGTTTGATTGGTACGCTATTTACGCTATTTGAACGATTAAATATAATTTTTATGATAGTCATGTATTATACGTATAATAATTTAACAAAATGTTTTTTTGTTAAAAATATAATTTATTTACATATGACAATAATTTTACTTAATAATTAAATTTATTCATTCCGGTTTACCATGCATTAATTATTATTAGTCCAGTTTTTTTCTACGAATGTAGCTTTTTTATTATTATCATCAAATCCAAACCAGCAAAAACATCCTTGGAAATAACCCAACGTAGATATTCCATTACATATTCTATTTCTTAATTCAAACCACAATTACCACAATTATTCACATAATAAAGACCTATAAGTTATTTCCTTTTTCAATCCACGTAAACTATAAAAACTAACTATTATATAAGTTAAATTATTGCCTTTAACCTCTTTAAAAAATATAATCTGCCTTAAAAAATTTATCCTACATCAATGTTAACGACTATTTTTTAAACCATTTTCAAACTAAAAACCCTTAAAATCTAAATCAAAAGCCCTTCTCTTTAATTTCTTGAACATCACGTGAATTATTTAAGTCAGTAAATTAATAAAATTAGTCATTAAAAATATTTTATCTTTACACCTTCATTCAACAAATAGATCAACTAACTGTGAATCTGGAACTAAAATAAAGCATAAAAATTAGTATTTAAGACATAATATATTTAAATCAATACAATAAATATTTTTTACCTTCTGCTTCTGGATCTTCGATTTGAATACCCTTGGAGTTTTTTGGTTCATTATTATTATTAAAACTCATCATACGACTAACATATATAGCTCCAGGATGAAGTGTTAAAGTAGTTTCTCGCTGTGGAAAATTTTTATCTGAATTTTGGAAATTCGTATCAATAAATTCCTTATACATCTTTATATCCTTTGTTTTCTTCGAATTCTTAGAATGCGATAGATCATCATAGAATCGCCAATTTCTAATTTTTTGAAGTATTTCTTTTGATGTAGGTCTTTTATCCGGATTTGAATCAAGACATTGAATTACCAAATCAATATAACAATGTGGTGTTCCTTTACCTACATTTGGTCTTAAACCACTGCAAATTGCTAATACAAGTTTTTCATCATGTGGTACATTTCCATAAGGTGGTTTTCCAGTTGACACCTCTACCATAATAATACCAAAACTATAAATATCACTTGCGAAAGTATATGCTTTTCCACATAATACTTCAGGTGCTATATAAGGAAGCACGCCACATACAGTTATAGAATTAGGAGAATTTGAATTACCACCTAATTGTTGTGCAAGTCCTAAATCAGTAATCTTTGTATCAACAATTCCGTCGTAATAAAATTGAAGTATGTTTCCACTATGTAAATCTTTATGAACATAATTTCTCTCGTGAATAAAGTCAAGATTATGTATAATATTAAGTAAAATTACTAATTTATCCTCCCATCGTAAATTAGAATAATTTTTTTTAAAGTAATCTCTCAAATTTCCATGAGTTGCATATTCTAAAACCATCATAAATTCTTCTGTATCTGGATCTTTTGTTATACCATAAAGTTGCGTAATATGAAAATTAGCATAATTACATTCATCATGTATTCTTATCTAAATAAAAAAATTCGCTCATTATAAATATTTATTACAAATTTAAATTATTTTGAAAAAATAAAGTTACCTACCTCATTGATAAAAGCTTTCATATCTGAATTTTTAAGTTTTTTAAGTGCAACGATAATAGGACCAGTACGAGCCTTTTCTTTATCATATTTTGGCGCACCTTCTCTCCATATAGCTGAGTAAATTATAGAAAACCCACCTTCCCCAATAGGTTTAATATTATCAAACCTATTAAACGGTATCCATTCTAAATTATCATAATAATGTAATGTTTGTCTTTGACTTTCACGGATAAATTCATCCATTTCAGTATTTTCACTTGTTTTTCCTTCTCTTAAAAATCGACCAGGATCACATTTTTTACACCACGCATATCCAGTATTTGCCTCCTTACAATCAGAACATATGCCAAAGTTTTCAATTTGTTCTCTCAAATCCTTAGAAAAAATCTTTTTTATTTTATCCTTCGTTTTAAGATCGTCCATTATAATAAAAATTTTATAAAAGATACGACGGACAAAGGAGGAAAACTTTATGAATAAGCCCCAAAACTAGTTATTTAAATCGGAGTTTATTTCCGTTGATTTGACTAAATATATATTTGTAATACAAACGTGTTTTACATAGATAGAGATTTGATTGTGTAATTTGATTGTAATAATTCCTGATAGAAATTCATTCATTTCGTATTATGTTACACAAATTAATAAAATTTATTATTGATAGCTAGAATTATCAACAAACTAACTATTCTTTTTTTAAAAAAATAAATAAATAAATTCTTTTTAAAAATAAATAAAATAATTAATAAATAAAATAATTTTTTAAAAATAAATAAAATAAATTCTTTTTTTAAAAATAAATAAATAAATTTTTCTTTTTAAAAATACATTGTTTTTTTGATATTTACAAAAATTCATTATATAATCCTATAAAATATATAAGTTGGCTAACTGGGGTGAGTGTCGGAAAAAGGGACCAAATTGTAAAAATTTTTTTTTTAAAAAATAATGAATGTTCTGAATCAAATGCTCAAATTTACATTGATTGGTCACTATACTAAAAATTTGTTTTTTCATTGATTTTGCTAATTCTAGCACTTACCCATTACTAAATTACTAATCATAAGATGACAGTTCGTGTTATGTGAATCAGTAATAGGTACAGTATAATAATTTATGCTACTAGTGATAAAAAAGTTACACGTAAGAACAACAATATACTTTTGCACAGTTCCGGATTCTTGTTTCTTTTCTTCAATTTTATATTTTCCTGGAGATTTTCTTTTCAAGTTCCAAAAATTAGTTATTGATTTATTTTTGGGACAGTATACTAATCAAAGAAGCAATACAGATTATTAAATTGATATTCAATTATCATTTTTTTTTTTTTTGAAATGTAATAATAATTTACTTACATTGTGGATCGAGATGATTCTTCCAACTATATTAATAAATTATTAAAAAAAGATCAAATTTTTTTAAAACCAAATATTATTTATTATATTAAACTTACTGGTGTGAAATTTGTTTTGGCGTAAATTGCGGCATTAATTCACTAATTCTTACAAACCGATCGTCAAGATGTCCCCACATCTTCATATGGTACCTGATACGCTTATTTTCCTATAAATGAAAAAAAAATATCTTAAAAAATAATTCATTATTTTAAAATTAAAGAAATAAGTAATAACGTACTTCATCATTAAATAGCGGCATTTTTATTATAATAATTAGAATGATTAATAAAAAGAGCATGTATTGATCAAGAAAGAAAGAATGGGTTTAAAGAAGAAATAAAAATTGAAATATTTTTCTTTAAAAAAAAAATGAATTTTTTTGACGGGGTTTAAATCAATTATTTCGATCTGCAAATTTTACACATTCAATTTTTTTCATTAATAAATATTTATTACCTCTTTTGAAATATTATCATATAAACAAACATCATTTTTAATGAAATTCTGAATTCTTAAATTCTTGAATTCTTAAATTCTCAGATGATCACTATCTGCAATGAATTAAGGGATCAACGTCGCACACTTGTTTCAGGATTTAAAATTGTATATTTATTTTGCAGCCTTTAAATTTAGAAGTCTTCAATAAAATCAAGCCTAATGAGATGAAGGGCATCTTCAAATTTCAATTTCATTATTTGTAACACTTGATTAGGAATTAGTAAGTCAATATACTAATATTTTTGTTAAAAGTGTATAATAATGTATTATAAGTTATAAATCAGTTTAAAACATAATATTTTCTATATTTCAAATGAACTGATGTCTGATGTATAAAATACATTAACGATAGATAATCTTCGTTATTTTATGTAGAAAAAAATAATAAACGTTAAATCATCATGATAATCACAAGATGGATCATACATTCATTCACTACCAAATCGAGATCGACGTCTTTCATAAGTAAAATTCAAGTAAATAGGGTTTTGAACTATTTTGGATAATAAATGAACTAACAATGGGAATGTCAATATTATTAAGGATCAAATGTAAACGATGATTACAAAACGTAAATATTTGGTGATCTCTAAGATCCCTTTGTCTTAATTACTTTTTTTGTAAATCATTTACAAGTTTATAACAGGTTTGCACATTTATAATCATTCCTACAATGTGTTGATCACAAGATGTTATTAAAATTTAGATTTATTTGCTCCAATGAGAAACAAAACATCTGAATAAAGTAATTCAACTGAGTAAATGAAAAGGATTAGATAATATGTCCTGAAAATACTAAAAATTACGTAACATTTATCTCACTATTTAGGATAAATCGGACCGTGACTTCCGAAGGGTAATATTCATTCCAATTAAGATTTTTTTTTCAAATGAAGATTTTATGTATAAACAATGACGCTATATCGGATACAATTGATGTTAGGAGAATTTATTATCTGTTATTATATGTGGATCCCTATGACTAGTAGCATACAAATAAAATACGGGTTTTGGACTATTTAGGATAATAAATGTTATTATTGGATGTCGATGACCAATGTTTTTTATCCCCCATCCAAATAATTGTATATATTATAAATCAAATGTTAAATGATAATGTTTGTAAATCACAAGACGCAAATATTTAGTCCCGATTGACTTCTGTAAGGATCGACATCCCCACACAAAAAATGTTTAAATTCTCCTGAACACAAAAATTACAAATTTTTAATAGTTTATTAATGTGACTATGCTAAAAAAAAATTGGATCCGTATTCCGTAATTTGTGATTCAACCATTGTATGGAGGATTAAATTATCCTAATTTGTTCATATGAAAAGTCGCAGATGTTTCGTTTCATTGGGGCAAATAAATCTCATCTTGTGATCAAATGTTTATATTTTAAGTATCAAGGAACAAGTTAGGTAATTTGTATTATTTATGCTTATTATATATACCGTAAATAGTTGTAAACCTGTAATTTAAATGTTTTTTACAAAAAAAGTAATTAAGACAAAGAGATTTTCGAGATCAATTGCATACAAATAAAAAGAAGTAAAAACACGAGTTTGGTATTATTTAAGATAATAATATAAATATAACAAACCAATAATGGGAATATTAAAAATATTAATTAAAGATCAAACGTAAATAATGACGTTCGTATAGCACAAGATGTAAACATTTGACTTCCGTAAGATCGACATCCAGTCTCCTGAATTTCAAATGAATTTGCCTTTATTAAACATTGTGTTCCTATAACATCATTATGTTTAGATCCAATTGTACGTATTTAAAATCTTATCATTTTTTAAAATTTAAAAAATTCTATTAATTTTTAATTTAAATGTATCGCGGAAGTCAACTAATTTTGGGGATCGATTCTTATCATGAATGGTCAAATATTTGTACCTGTGATCATTGACTATTGTATTGAGGATTATAATTTGTACAATATACGTTTTATTTCCTAAATAGTTTCAAAACAAGTATTGTTTTTTTATAAAATAATAATGATGAAAATTATCATTATGAATTATAAAATCTTTTTCATTCACCCATATGGAAAAAGCGTTTCAAAGTTTCAAAATTCTGCAATCAATTATATTATTCAGATGTTTTATTTTTATTGGAGTGATTTCAACATCATTTTGTTTACATTTGATCTTAATAATATTATTATATTGAACAAATTTAGTAATCTATATTAATGAAATGACGCAAACTTGTAATTTTATGCAAAAAAAGGTAATTAAGACAAAGAGATATTAGATGAATTGTGTAAACAAATAAAAAATATCGTTTTTTAGAACGCAAAAAAATGTTCAATTTTTAAAAAAAATCTAGTGATAGATCAATAGAATGATAAAATTCTTTTTTCAAAAAATTTTTTATTTAAACACACACCTCTCATTGTTAAAAAAAATATCGTGGAAAAATTCTTTCCATAAAAGAATATGCCGCTATTCAGTGACAAAGTATGCTATTAAATATCTTTAATTATTTATTTCTTTTTCGTTATATTAACAAAATGTTCTTCTACAGGACAATAAGTGTTTCAAGTTTCTCATGAGGTTATGGGGACGCTATAATGATCGTTTTGTAAGGATTAGTAGACTAATGCCACGATATACGTCAAAACAACTTTCTAACCAGTATGGATTTTATTTAAAATATATTATTTTTTTTACTTACGAACTTTTTAACATTTTATTTTTTTTTAAAAAAAAAAAATAATTTAGTTGGAGAAATTATCTCAATCCAAACTGTAAGTAAAACTTTTTGTCTATCAATTTCTTTTTTTTTATTACATTGATTTATTATATGTATGTATGCATGCATGTGTTTCGATTAGTATGTAATCAACCCCTAGGGGATCACGAAAAAGGTTACGTTATCGAACTAGCTCAAAAATATCGAACACCAAAATACATCAAATGGAAATACGTAATTCAAGACCTGTATGTACAATTTGGAAAACTCTACGCCGAAAACCAAGTTAAGAATTATTGGAATTCGAAAAATAGAAGTAACTCGTATGACGTTAACGACACCTCTTTACGGCTTCCTCAACTCCACAATGATACAAAATATCGTTATGAATTTATTATGGAACGTAATTATAAACTTAAACCTAAATTTAATGAACCTTATAGAATGAGGCCTTATTAAATTTCTTTAATATTAATATGCATGCGCAGCTACGTAAAAAGTTAATTGAATGCTTATCCTTTTTGACTGGGCTCAAAAAAATCAAAAAAACTTAAAAAAACTTAAAATGTACAAATATTACAAATCACGTTCTTCTTCTTCATTGATAAAAAGTATTTATTTAATGTTATTATACAGCTGACGCAATATGAATATGTAAATAATCTTCATCCCGATAAATGATCATTTTTCTAGTTTTATTCCGATGAAACTCTTACACGTGATCATTTTTCTTTATGTAATTATATGTGATTATATAGTATCTTTTTAATAAATTCTTTTTAATTCTTTAAATAAGATATTTTACCGCTATTCATTGAATATTAAAATCATGAAAGGAACTTCGTATTAATTTATTTTGCTTCCGACTCTTTTAAAAATTCCATTCTGGCAAATTTATAAGGTACTGTAGATCATAAATATTTACCTTCAGGTAATACGTATGATCTTTATTGACGTCATTCGAAGTTGAAGATCAGCTATTATCCTACATATTATCCGCAATAAATTTAATAGTAATTGTATCCGAAGCGTAAGTGTACTGTAGGACTCTTCTGAATGTCCGTCACGCCGCGTCTATTTACCAATCACGCTTTTTTGTTTACATTTATCGCTTTTTTATGCAATTTAGTGATTATACATTTTTTTATCAATTGCTTCGGACGTTCCAACGGTTCCCGTTACTCAGTAATAATTAATATTAGACCCATGAAAATATTATATTATCACTGCCTAAAGTATGTGTACCCATGTTATAAGAACCAGGTATAATATATAGTACATTAAAATACTGTATTGTATACCCTTCCTTTGATGCTGGCAAATTACTAATACTTAATGTATAATTTACGGGTTATTTAAAATGATCATGACATTATGTACCTACCGTATTACAGTATACCAGACTTTCCTATTTTATATCTGATAATTTGTTATTATTATAATTTTTCTAGTATTTATGTTTCCTTAAGAATGTACTCTATGTTGAAGGCATCACTTTAAGATATGCTTTAAATTTATTCAAGAATAAAAATTATTTTTTATTAATTATATTTTTACAAACTGAGTCAAAAAACTGAATCAATTGCATAAATACCATATACTCATATATTAATCTTAAATTACGTCATTCTTAATCAAACCACTATCCCAACTAATAAAGTTCATTTATAACATAATAAGAAAAATAAATAAATAAATTTTAAATAAATAAATCTATTTTGTAATCGGTCTCATTTCATCGGGATTATAACCGCCGCTATTAGAGGAATTTTGGTAATAGTTTCCTCGATTTCTCCGCAACGTTTTAAGATAGATATATATCGCATCTGTAAAGGATTTAAATAATTAATATAAAAGCTTTTTTTTTTGAAAAATTAACTAAATATATAATATTATATTTACTCAAAATTCTTGATTGTTGCTTTTGAAAAAATAGAAAAATAAATTAGAAATAATTATTAAAATTTATAAATAAATAATTAATTAATAGTTCAATTTACCATCCTGTACACAATTATTAATTGAATGAATTTTTTTTATAATTAAAAA